CTGGTACTAATGATTATGAATAGGGATACTGTACAGAGCTATGTTAACTGCATAGACAGCACAACTGAAGACATCAGATGCAAGGATGAAAACAGCGACTAACATCAGGAAGGTTTACTGATAATATTGATGAATGTCAACAGGATATGAAAGACAGTAGGGGAGGTTATGGGATGTGTAATATGCTCTTTTTTGTCTTTTTTAAAAAATAATATTGCATAACTGATACTATTATGTTGTCTGTCTTGTAGACCAAATTTCTTCAGGAAGAGATAAAACTCACATTTTGATTGCTATCCTTTTCCCCTAATTTGTGACAACTCTACATAACCCTATTGAGGATTTGTTGTCTCAAACTCATTTACCTCATTACATGTTTACTTTGCTTCCTCTTCTCTTCTAAAATTTCTCTAGAATAGATTTTATCAAAAGTACAAGCAAACGTATTACTGTTAGCTAAAATTCAAAAAAGGATGGAGAAATGTAATGAAACGTTGTTTTGAATAGAAAAAGTTTAGCAGAAATGCTCAAGAAAACATAAAGAAAACACAATGTGACAAGAGCCGCTGCATTGTCAGACCAGGAAGCTAATTAACCCACCAACATTCCACAGTGCAGTTGGCAAACACCGGGATGTTTCTTTTTCCATAATTCAATTTGTATAACCAACAGAAAAGCTACCATAACAATGTTATTTCATCTGAAGGAAGACAGTACAGCAGCAGTTGCCAATGGAAGCCTGTCCTTTCTCCTCTTTGCTCCTTAACTCGGATAACAGATTTCATTACGCTCATAACTATAGAAGGAGGCTGAGCTCATTATGGCACATAATCCAATCTGAGCTCCCCGAATTGGCAGTGCAATGACATAACAATATCGTCCTTGGTCTAGAGAAGGTAGAAATGTTAACAAAATTCCAGGATTGCAGGGAAAAAAAACATTTCTGGCTATTAGGCAGCACTGAATGAAATCACAGTTGTAGAATAAGAGTTACGTTAATGTGGCTAAAGTAAAAAAGAAAGCAAAATAAAACTAATAAATAGGGTAGCTGATAAAAAACTCAAAAACTTCTGGATTATTTGTCCAAGCTAAATACTGGGTTCAAGTTGCTAAGACAGAAGTTGAGTAATTTTACCCAAACATTAGAGGGAAAATTGCCACCCAGTGTTGGACATCAGTTCTTCAAAAACTAACCCTTTGACCAGATTTGCTCTGTAGTAATGTAAATGTCAATGAGCTGTAATGATTTCAGTTCACACTTGGAAATGAGTTTGTTCACTCAAATTAACAGTAGCAATGTACCTGCTGGCAAGCGAGCACATGCCACTGCTAACTATGTTCAGCATTCACACCTTGAAAAAAGAGTTGGTCATTAAGTGAATACAGACAGGCATGTGTTATACATTGTTAAATGCTATATATTAGTTTTGAAAATCTTGAAATTGCTGCTTATAAAATTAAAATCTTAACCAAACCTGGTCAAAATGGCCACCCAGTTTGGGTAGAAAGATATTAAAAGGATTGCCATTTTCAATTATATGCAACAACTTGCAGGCATCACTGAACACCTTCATTAGATTAAATAAGAAATGTAAGCTAATAAAAGTGGCTATTTATTGATGTAGGCTAAATGTCTGTGGGTTGTGTTAATAATCTTAGTTTTTGTTTGTGCAAAAAGGTTTTTATAGGGAGACTGAATTTGTCTCTTCACTAATTTGTATCAATATTTGAAACTGTTTTCATTTAATCCCGTTTACACATAATTTTCTTCAAAGAGAATATACCTGTATGAAATATTATATTAGTAGCACTCATGCTGCAGTCTCAAAGGAGATTCTAATCTGTCTTGATGTGGAATAAATTCAATGACATAGTTTCCCTAAAGCATACAGACGTCAACACACACTTTTGATTAAAACCTGCCATACACAGTCGCCCTGAAGCTTTTACATTCAGAGCCCACATCAGACCTGCAAAACAGCATAAAATCCTTTTTGGCAAAGCAATTGTAATTAATAAGACAAAGTCTTTGCCCTCATTTACTTTATGTGCTTAATGTAGATATCCCAGATCAGTTGCTTGCTAAATGTTTCCCTTTCCTCTTCTAGAAATTTCCAGCAGTTCCAACCTTCATTTGTGTTTTTCTGAGTATTTCGTTTCCTAATAGGTGATTAAATTGCTCCAAACACACGCAATATCTTCTTGAAACACATTGCAGCATTGCCCAGCACCCACATCCTTGAACAATGACGAGCTTTAGGAGAGGACAAAATTAAAATTCAAAGACAAGGAAAGTTCATTTCAGTCTCACAGACCTCTGTGCAAAAAGCACTTGACTGATTTTAATCACATTCTTATTTATTTCAGCTTATAGCTCAGCATTACTATTTGGGAAGCCTGCAGCGCCTTCATCATTTTGTTGGTATGGTGCAACAGTGCCATCTAGTAGTCTCATGCGAGTATTAAAGGAGACCAACCAAAGCTATTAGATGTCAGTCTAAAAGCTCTGCCTTCACAGTACTGCTGAACAGCAAACATTAATTTGCAGAGTATGGTTTCACTAAGAGCTCTTTATCTCCCTGTTTGTTATCCACCCCATTCAGTCAGTGTTATTGTATACATCTATCTGCACTTTTGAGCTATAAGACTGCCAAACAGGGGGAGTGAGTCATGGAATACAATTGGCATTTGGCAAATACAGGAAAATATCCATCTGAGAGCCCCTGCATTATGTTTCTTAGAATGAGAAATGAGAATGTAAACAAAATTTGCATTCAAAAAGGTGTTTTCTTTCTGAGAGATGACCTTTTTTATTTACTGCTGAGTCCTATAAAGAGCTAAAATCAAAACAAGGAATAATTCACACGCAGTACCTTTAAAAAGTATTTGTACCCTTTGACCTTTTCAAGTTGTGTCTAATTACAAAAGCAAATTTTGATGTACTTATTAGGATTGCATGTGTCCATAATTGTGGACAGAAAATTATACATGAATTTCAATAGTTTTTTGTTAAATGTTACATGCAAGTAAATCATTTTCCTTTTATTCTGATACCCAAAATAAAATCCAGTACAATCAACAGCCTTGAAAAATCTCACAGAGCACTGTTCATGATCTGAAAATAGGGTGCTTTTCTATAGCATGACTGGGAAATTAGAGTTGATGGTATGTTGGATAGATCTGAATTCAGAGCAATCCTGGACAGAAATCTGTTAGAGAAGGGATGTCCAGTTCTGCGACATCTGGATGAATTCCTTCTGCAAACCACCTGAATCAAATGAATTGCTTGTTACCAGACGCTCTGCAGATCTGAGTGACATACTGATGAGGGAGTTTAACCATTGGATTCAGGTGTGGTGGAGCAGGAATGCACCCAAAAGACATAAGATAATATCTCCAGCACTCCGTGAAGGAGGCTGCAGAAGACCTGAGTCTATGGCAGTAGTGCATCAACTACTGCCAGCAGGACAACAAGTCTATACCTAAAGTGAAATAGTTTGTATCATATCCATGTGCAACAATGACCCTTTCAAAGACCAAAATCTGTGGGAAAACTTGAAAATTGATGTTTGTAATTGAGCTACATCTAATCTGATAGAGCATGAGGTGTTTGAGAATGGGGGAAAAAAATCATTCTCTTTATGTGCAAAACTTGGAGGTACACTTTAATGAACCTGCATTAATAACACTACTGATTGCTAAAATAAATTTTTCTGAGATTTTTGGGAAAAGTTCTAATAATTGTGTTCATCACATTTTTTCAGTATGCACTGCTTTGTATTGATCTACCATATAAAGTCAAAGTAAAATACTTGACAAAATATAAAAACATTAAAGGGACATGCATACTTTTGCAACTCTTTTATGTAACCAGAAACGTCTTTTTCACAAGCACAACTGTAATTATGCCATATTATTAGCACAACCCTGTGAATGGCCAAACTATTTTCATTAGAAACTGAACTGGTTTGTGGGGAAGCTTCATGAGCTCATTATGGTTGTGCTATAAAACTGGATTAAATGTGGGGGCTAATCCTTATTGCGGTTCAGAAACACTTTTTTTGATGTTGAAAGGGGGCGGGCGAAGCATTATGTAAAACTGACTTTTTTTAAACTTTATATAATGGTATAATGTTGTTCCCTCATCAAAAACATACCTGGAGTATTACTTTAGATCTTCCATGCAAGTTTGAGAAATCCTTCAATCTCCTGCGAGAGTTTAAAGAGGCACCTAAACACTTGCTCCCATAAAAGCGTACCCCGTCTCTGCGCCTTTTCCTCTCAGCTCCACCAGACTAGTGACAGCGACAATTAGCAAACACCTGGTTGAACTGCGTATCTGCTGAGCCCATCATCCTACTACTTCTCAATCCAATGCACCTCAGAACATTTGTTAACATAACGGAGAAGCATTGCTGTGATGACGAGCTAAAGGCAGTGTGTTGGAAAGACAAGGACCTTCTTAAAGAGACAGAAGCCCATTTTCAGGGCATCCAATAAGGTCATTTTTAAAGCAATGTTTGAAATTTTTAAAGCAACTTCAGGAAACATACTTGATTGTGCTACAAAATGCCTGGGAAATACATAATACCATCACTTTAAGAACATTTCAGTCCGGTTCACACATTCTTTTTATTTTTCAAGTAACTCTGACAGAAGTATTTAATATAAAATGCCTTTTCTCTGTCTGTATCAAGGCCCCTCAAAGCTGGTTGTCCAACAGTGTTTGTGTGCACTCTGCCATCATTAAAAATGCATAACTTTTCTGCAAACAGTGTCCTGACAAGCATCTAGAGCTCATTGGATATCAGTCATTAAAATTTAGCAAAGAGGCCAAAGCGCAGTCTGTAGGTGGATAGGCATCAGGTTCCCCCATTCAGGCAATGGATAAATTTTTCAAAGTCCTATTACCTCAAGGCGGTGCACTGTGACATTACAGTTGTGTGTCTCGGCTGGAAAAGCAGTCGAGGTTTCAGAAAAGCCGAATCCACAATAACAATATGAGTCTCGGGGTGGCTATACTGATTCATTTACTACTGTTGGTTGACGGGGCTTATACTAAAAAAGGTGAGTTGTCATTTTTTATCCTGATGGAATACTACTTAGACTTAATAGGAGTGTTTTATTTTGTAGAGGCTATATATACAGATAAAGCTGGGCCTTCATTGTTCAAAGTCAGAGTGTAATACAATTTCATGGATCGTATCAGCTGGCAAGAAAACAGTGATATCAGTCAGGGATAAGCAGTAAGCCTTTTCATATCTTTTCCTCTGAGCTAAAATAAAACATTGCTTTTGTAATTTCTAGGTGTCAAATGTGGAGGCATCCTCTCTGCTCCGTCTGGTAACATTTCCAGTCCAAACTTCCCAGGCCTGTATCCCTACAACATTGACTGCTCCTGGCTGATTGTAGTGGCTGAAGGCTCCTCAGTCCTCCTCACCTTTCACCACTTTGAGCTGGAGTACCACACCAGCTGTGCTTACGATTATATCAAAATATACAATGGCATATCGGAGGACGAGGGGAACCTCCTTGGGACATTTTGTGGTGACATTTCCCCACCTCAGTTCACCTCTTCTTGGAATGTCATGTCCATTATTTTCCATTCAGACCGCCATGTGGCCCACAGGGGCTTCAGTGTTGGCTACAGAAAAGGTAACTGGTTAGATTTAATGTAATATGACAGCTATATTGAGGCTAAACTCTGCAAAACTTCTGCATTGTACCTAAACATCCTGGCCTTGTATGCATGTCTAGAATTTACATACAACAATCTTAGACTGTTTTTGAAGTTTTCTATTGAGTTCAAACATTTTTACTCTTAATGTGTGTAAAATAATGCCATTTGTGGACTATTGTTAAAGAAATTCACCTCAAACTACCTCAAAGGCAGGGTGGTATAGTTGAGCCCAAAATTATACAGGCTTGGCAGATTTAGGTTTAAAGCAATCTTTAAATTTTGTCAACTTGCTTTTCCTCCCAAAGGGTGATTTAAACCCCTTTTGTGTTACCCACGCAATGTCCCAACTTTATTTGCTAGAAAATCTTTGGAGGGAGCCAAAGATAAGAGTGATAGCAATTAACCTCCAACAGGGCAATGATCCTATTCTGCCAAAAGCATTTATTGTCTGTTTTACAAGGATAATAAAGAATCATCACCAAGAATAAATCATCAAACTATCAGTGGGAATACAGAAAAAGCTAGTCAGCCATTATAACAAATGTGAGTGGAGTATAATAGACTCACAGTATTCGTATATGTAAGGAACCAGAATCGCCAGCAAATATATTAAATCCGTGAATATCTAAGACTCCCTTTTATAATGTTCGCAGCTGCATATTTTAATAGTTCAAACACCAAATATGCCTTAGCAAGCACCACAGAGACTGCCTTGGCACTACTGAAGCCGGTAGCAATAACAGCCTTCTCTTGGGGTTATAGAATCAGCGCCAATAATTGGCCTGACACTGCCTGTCAATCATTCTTGAGGTTTTGACAGCAACTGACCAATCGGCAGTCGCCATTTGTCTCAAAGTACATGCCCTTAAGCCTCCAACAATGTAACCCGCTAATTGAACTATTAATTCTGACAACTTTGGTTAAATGCTGTTCACGTTTAAATTTGTTCTGAAGCAAAATACTGTTAGTGCCTGTTTCTATTCAAATTCATCCTAGACCCAAGGTTCATGATAAAGGCAGGGAGATTTTGCTATGACAATGATGACGGTACTGTGGACATTGTGTACAAAGCTGCTTCCCATCTCTTTCAAGCAAGGACGACTCTTCCACACAGATGAAGCATGTCAAAAAAAGCTCTGATTTTCTGAAAACCTTTGGGAAAAAGATGAGAGTAGTTTTGAAATGAGGATGTGGATTTTAGATTTCAGAATTCAAAATTGACAGTCAGAGCATGTCACGTTTCTTTATTTTTCAAAACTTTTAAAGATTAAAAAGAACCATGTAAAAAGAGAATGACACAATTCTGGAGAAAAACATGTGTGAAGTTGTAGACAGCTGAAGATACTCTTCCAACAGGTTAATGATCCTATACTGCCAATGTAATTTTTGTATGTTTTACAATGGCAATAAAGAATTTAATCTAATCTAATGTACTTAGCAAAAAATCAGCATAAACGTTTTTGGAAAGGTTAAAGTTTAGATCCTGAGATTTTTGTGGGCCTAAGATATTTGATCAAACCAAGAAAAGCAAAAGTAAACAATGGAGAACTAACTTTTGATTATTGCTTGCTAAAATAGATCAACAAGCAGTCAAACACAACTTTCAACTTTGGACATTGGACTTCTTTTGCCTTCGACACATGCCTAAGGTGCTTCAATGGTTCTTTGATCTTTTGTTGTTGAATGTTTGGTATGACACAAAATAGAAATGCAACAATACTGAAGAATGGCATTAAGGTTTTGCTTTAATACCACTACCAGCACATCTGTAAACTGTGTACTCACATCTCTACAGATTGTATTTTCATTACATTGCATTACAAAGGTAATTAGATAAAAGGACAACACTAGTGTATGGGGAAACTTAATTTACAATAATACAACAAGAAATCTAGACCGGAACAAAGAAATCCCAAGTAAAACCAGATCCGGAATTAATCATTGAAATACCAGTTCAACAGATAGAAAAAACATGCCCATTCCCACAACAAATGAAAAACCTAACGAATCTTTACAAAAGTTAGTGAAAGTAAGTATTCAGAGAAACCGTTGAAATACCTTTTGAGCTTGGCTGTGGGCTTTGAGTCACTGTCGTATAAATCTCCCAAGTTCTTGCTCATTTACGCACATAAATAAGGGAGATGTTTGATAACATGATCCACATTGAGTAATGGTTTCTGTTTACCCGATATTCAGTTATGGTGAACAGAAACACAGCCAAGAATTGTATGCCTTGGAACATATATTTGTAGCTTGCTTATATTCTTTTATCATTTTTTTTATTTTAGCTTATCTTTGTTTAACAAATCATTATATAATACAACAAATGCTGTTTGTTTTCATAAGCTCAATGTTGTTCAAGTTTCTCCTCTTAAAGGGCATTTTTCTTATGTAACAGTTATTTTCCCTTTTTGCCTCCTATCCTGGTTAGACATGTGTGGTGGAGTGTTGACTGGACTATCAGGTGTCATTTCCAGCCCAGGCTACCCTCAGGAGTACAGCAACAATGCAGACTGCTCCTGGACAATACACGTGTCAAATACAAGTGTTGTCACCTTGGTCTTCCTGGACTTCCAGCTGGAGAACAACGAGGGATGTAACTTTGACTTTGTTGCCCTGTTCGATGGGCCAACAGTCACCCACCGCCATCTCGGCAAATACTGTGGGACAGATAAACCCCCCAACACAGTCACTACTGCTAACCAACTCCTGGTAGTCTTCAAGTCAGATTTCAATATTGGTGGGCGAGGCTTCAAGGCTTACTATTACTCGGGTAAGAACATTTTCTAGACTAATTGTTAATAGAGTGAAAAATAAAGAAAGCATCAAGTTAACAAATCTTATTGATGATGCTGAATGTCTAAAACAAGTCATTTGAAGGAGTAAAAAGATGATTAAAATTAAATCTTTTGAATCTTAAAAAATATACTGCAACAATGTGAAAATCTATGAGTGGTCCTGTCAAAGTCCAGAATGGAACCCATGTGAGTGTGACTATGCTGAGTGTAAATCTACAGGCATGGACAATGTGCACAAATGTTATGTCTGACTTAAATATTTGAGTTCTTGATCAATACCAGTTTGTCACGGCAGAACGTATTTTGCCCATTCTTCTCTGCAAAAGTTATGTCAGATTTGATGGAGAGCATCTGCGAACGTCAATTTTCAAACCTTGCCACAGATTCTCAATTGGATTTACAGCTGTACTTTGACTGGGCTGTTTCAACAAATGAATAAGTGCTTTTGTCTAAAACAATTCCATTGGCTGCATGTTTAGTGTTGATGGAAGGTGAATCTTCACTCTGTCTTTCTTCCAGACAGAACATTTTCATTTTCTCAGCAGAACACAAATACCCCCAACAGCATGATACTGCCACCAACAACTTTCACTGTGGGAATGATGTCTCCTGGTTCTATGTCATATGGAGTTTTGCACATAGGCCCAAAGCACCTTTTCCCACATCTATTCTCTGTTTCTTAGATAGTTAAATAAGATAAAAGATTATGGTTTCGCTGTGATGCAGATATAACCTTACATAAATCTCCAGTTTTTACCCCTTGAGCTTTAACTACTTGATGCTGGATTTCATATGGACGAATTAAACTTTAGAATGCAAAGCTTACTCATTAAGTTTCTCCAACGCAAGTAAACAAAAGAGTCAGATTCCCAAAACTGGAAACATATAAATTTAAAGGGACTCCTCATAAACTTCAATTACCTGCTATAAACGTGAGCTTTTAATTTTGAGACTGTTTTAAATAGCATCCTTGTGATAAAGAAACACAGAACAGAAACCTTAATGAAGATGGCTAATTAATGTCATTTACTTAAAATAGGTGAATGCCAACAAGTTCTATCCGCTGTGAGCGGCAACTTCAGCAGCCCACATTTCCCCAACATCTACCCGAACAACATCAACTGCCACTGGAGCATCGTCCTGCAAGCGGGGTACCGCATCAAGCTCTTCTTTCCTGTCATGGATTTGGAAGGCCGCAACAGTCTGTCAGACAAGTGCGACTACGACTCAGTGTCGGTCTATGACGGGGACAGCCAGGCGGACACGCTGATGGGACGCTGGTGCGGCAGGGAGCAGCCTTCTTCCCTCGTTTCCAAGGGGAACAAGTTGCTGGTTGTCCTCAGCACAGACAGAAATGAAGCTCACAGAGGGTTTACCGCTTCTTATCTAGGAGGTAAATGTGTTTGTGTTTGTCTTTTATCAGGAGCTAATGGCACTATTAATTGAGTGTATCCTGTGGGGACTGCAGGTTAAAGATATGTACTCCCCACTGAGTACACTGTTTGCAGTATTAATCGCAGCTAAATTTGCTCTTTAAATTCTAAACATTCATCCCAGCAAACAGTTTTCCTCAATGTCATTCCTATTCTACTCACGAAATGTTTGAATATGTTTTCCTCAGTGGTGCCTGTGAACGTTAGCTGCACCAGATCAGAGTTTACCATCCTGATCCCTCAGCGGTCGTTACCTCAGCTGGACCGTGAGAGCATCTACCTGGGAAACCCAACGTGCACTGCTCAGCTAACAACAACCTCATATAAAATACTGGCACAGTTTGTCAACTGTGGTACAGCCAGCCAGGTAACTGGCTCCCATACTCTAATGCACCATGTAATTATTTCTTGTTTAAAAATAATTTACTTTTACAAAGGTCTGTAAAAAAGAAAGTGGAACATTAAAAAAATGGTTATTTTAGTCTTGGTGCTGTGGATTGAAAAGCAGACTTTAAAAGTAACTGCAAGCAGTTATTAATGGGTTTCAAACCCAACCCAACAAGTCGGTCCCTGGCACTGCTCCACCTGCAAACCCTGCTCTCCACATTCCCACCTCTAAGCATGTGGACAGGACAGGGATTGTTTCTTAAAGGTGTTGCCATTATAATATGTTTATTCTATGGTTGGTAGAGTACATGTAACTCTTCTCCTATGAATCTATATTTCCTAAATAAATTACCAAAATGTTTCACAAAGTCATGTATACACATAGAGTAACAAGAAGCTTTTACCATGTCCAAGGATTCAATGCCTTTTAAACCAGTGCCACAATCTATAGAACATATAGCTGATAAAATGTGACTAAACTTATTTTGTACCCATTTTGTGACTAATAATTCTTCACAGAAACACCGCAACATCACCATGCTGGTGAACAAGCTCTACATTGATTTCTCTGATGGGAAGCAGCAGAACATGCAGGAATACAAGGTGCAGTGCGATGCCTTAAGGAAGGTCGCATTCGTGTCACTCATTTCTGCGGAGGAGCGACGGCTGGAGGAGCAGGCCCAGCAGGCGGAAAGCGACAACAGCGGATACGTGGCAGAACCACAGGCAGAACCTCACGACTTGAGTGATATTGTCTTTATCAGCATCTGTGTTCTGGCTGTCATCCTCATGGTGATAGCAATTGTTTGGTTGGTGCTTCTTTAGTGAGTTACACAGAGATCATCAACAAGTTCTTAGTCTCAATTAATTTTTATACAAAAAACAAGACAAAATTGAAAAGAAAACATAATTTTATGATGTTGACACTGCTCTCTAAATACCTTACCTGCAATTCTGTGCAAAGCATTGCAGGTAATGTACACTAGGAAACGTTCTGAATGTGTCATAATAAACCAAGTTCTACTAACAAACATTTTAACTTCAAGCTCAGTGCAGATTAATTTACAAACATTTTGTACTTTTGATTGTTTTGTACATACATTTTTCACATTTACATAAAGGAACTGTCAGCTATGTAAGGTTTTCTATCCATCTTGCATCAATGAATGTGACTCAAGTTGTGCTGGGGATGCTACTTAAGTGTTTTGGCAACCAAATATTTAATGTGGCTTTCTAGAAGCTAACTAGTTAATTTATGAAATGTGGTTGTTGAACTATGTGTATGTATAATTTTTAGCAGTGTGATAACACTTTAGACAATTTTTCAAGCTACTTTCTGAATAGACATTGAAACATTTTGTAGGAGTACTTTGGGGGATGAAAATGTGATGTTTTTAGTTCATTTTTGTTTTTGTAAGGTTTTATGAAAATGTTTTGCTATTAAATATAATATAAAACATGGTCTACTTTGTAGACTTACTTCTGTGAAGATCAATACATGTGATCAGCCATCTATACAACCATTAAAAATAATTTACTTTTACAAAGGTCTGTAAAAAAGAAAGTGGAACATTAAAAAAAAAAGGTTATTTTAGTCTTAGTGCTGTGGATTGAAAAGCATAGATAGCATGTATAGATGTGATCAGCCATCTATACAGCCATTGACTTAATCTCTCCACAAATACATAACCACATAATCTCATAATTTCATTATTATGTGATCATGATAACAATAATATTATTATAGCAACAGTTATATTTTATTGAAATTCTCTTACATGAAAAATATATACAATATACTATCTTTTACCTGCGGGTGGATGTGCCGTGTAGTCATGGTCCGCAGTAGCATCTTCAGCCTGGTTAGCTTTCTGAGAGGACAAACTGCCGTTTCTTAGCCCTCTCGAAAGCAGACTCTCTCATTGCCGGTGCAGTCAAGTTATTCCAGGCAAACAGGGAAGGAACAGCTCCACTTTTAAGGCGGCTTGTGGTGGATCCGCTAACAAAATCCTCTCCGGTGTGAAGTGGCGGCTACATACGAAAGTCCTCCCCGTCTTTATGCAAAAGTCCGGACCTTCATCTCTTCGGATCGCCTGGATCCCCTGCCTCCGTTGGTCCGGGTCCGTCAGGAACGCATGATATGACAGATAAGGCTGTTTTCTTGCCACACATGAACAACCAGGGACTGAACAAAAACAACTGCGCCGAGACTGAGCCATTTTCCTAGCCTTGTAATGCTAACGCTATAGCCACCGGACGTTGTCCGACCCCACATCCGCTTTCAAACCGGGAAGCGTGAAAAAGGTCTATAACCAAAAAAAATCTTAGAAGACATTTTACTAACTACTCTTTGATTATTCTGACACAGAATAATTAAAAAGATCTGGAGGTATGTAAATGGAAGTATGCTTTTTTTCAAAAGTTCAGGTTCAAACTTTGTTTAGCTTAGCACATTTGTCCACAAGGTTTGAGGAAATTGTAAACTTTCATACTAAGGAAACCTACTTAATTCAAGATTAAATGCTGAAACTAAATCAAAAGTGGCTTAGCAAAAAACACTGGTTAAAGGGCATTTATGCAACCAGCTTTTTGTGTGTGTGTTCTCCCCTCTGATAAATTTGTTTTTCCAACTGAATGGCACAGAATATATCATGTTTGAAAATGATATATTCTGTAATTATTTATTAAGGTCCTATTTTTACACCTTATTTTAACAAGGGCTGTGTGTGTGTGTGTGTCTGCGTGCATGCATTTGTTTGAGCCACAGTGGGTTTTTTTGGGGGGAGGGTTGTTTTTAAGATTTTTAATTTTCACACAAAGTTGAACTGGCAAGGTGAATCCACAAAGAAGTTTGATCTGTTCTTCTCCACTTGTCATGATAAAGTGTCTTTGGAAAACATATTGTACTCATATAAAGTGTCACTAGTGTTAGATACAATTTATCTCCCAGAAGTATCGTTGCAGCGCTGTTAATGTACTAATCCAGCAGTGACCTAGTCAAGAGCTACTATCCTGCAACTTTAAGATGCATTCTATCTCACACCTGACTCAAATGACTGAAATCCCTCAGATTTGGTTATTCTGTTCTGCATATGCCCCTTAATGAGCCATTTGTTTAATTCAGGTGTGTTTGAGAAGGGATGTATCTAAAAGTTGCAGGACTACATTTGGGCACCACTGTGCTAAATAATTGGTGAATAAAACCTTTAATGCAAAAACCTCTAAGACAACACACAAAAAAAAATATTATAACAATTCTAAATTATGAAACATGTATATTTACAAACCAAATTTCATCCATGAATTTTGTATTTAATTGACATTTTTTTCATTCAGTTTTAAAACAAAATTAATGAAATATGGTACGGTATTGTGTAAGTGGAGGTCTGCTTTTCATATTAAAATTTGAGCATTTCCTCTTAAAACAGCACACATTTACTGATGTGCCTCAAAATATAAAAATATTGTGTATTTTCTCAGCCAACAGAGAACACAATTAAAAACTAAAAATAAATTTAAAACAATTCACAGGTATTAAAATTTCTTCCATAAGAGGTCCGAGTCACAGTACAACTTTGTATTCACTTATTTTTTGTATTTAGAAACCAGCTGGTTGACTGATATTTTGCCGTCCTTTACTTCACTCCTGATGTCAGGGTTGTGTTTGAAGGCGAACACGAGCGCCCTGATCGTCCGTCTGTATGAGCTGCTGACTAACCGGGAGCTCCGATGAAAAACTTCTCTCTCGATGTTGTCTATCAGACCAGAGTCCTCCTGTATCACACGTAGACCAACAAACAAAAATACGTTTCAATTCATTTAGTTCAACAATCTGTAGGAATGAAATACAAAATGACCAAAGTGCAAACCAAAGAAATAAACCAGCAAATAATAAAAACACCTTCACAGAATATGAAACTAACAAACCTGATTTTAACAAATAGATAAATTTTGTTACAATTTCAACTAAAGTACAGAATTTGGTGAAAGTTTCACTAGTTCCTACTAAATCTCCAAGAAGATATTAACTATAATCAATTAAACAAGAGGCCTGTAAGGATTATAATCTATCCTATTTTTTATTGTTATTGTGAAAGATTTCTTATTCTGACCTGTATTTATCACTTAATAATCATGATAATTCCAAATTATTAAGTCTGAAATCCACTTAAAGCTGTCTGTATTGTCAAAATTGCAATTTACATGTTTTACTCCATCATTTATCCCATGAAAGCATCAATAAATATAAATAAAGTCACAATTATTTAACAAAGAGCATGTACTTTGTGCAGTTTAGTGATAAAAATAACATTTCTTTATGGATTCGGAGTCCTGAAGAAAACTATTTAAAAGTGTGTAGTCTTGTTTTAAAGCAAAATTTGTTTTTGTGGGTTTATGATTACTATGCCATGCAGCCAAAGCCATGCAGATACCCAAAAAGATGGTAAACGTGTGAAATGCCATTAAAGTGTTTTGTCCTGTTTCTCACCTTGACCTCCAGTGCTTCAGACAGCAGTCTCCTAGCGTTGCTCCGGAGTGCTTCAGACTGTTTGTCTGAGCGCACTTCAATAGACGGCTTATTTGAATTCTCCTCAATGAAAGTCCTCCAGTCAGTGTAAACTTTTGCTGCCAGATAACTCACCTCAGGGTCTGGATGCTTCCGTACTTTGTTGACAGTGTGACCTAGAAAAAAAAAAACATAAGGATTTATTTAGCCTCAAGTTTTTAAGCAATAAGCTTGTGACAAACTGGACTTTCACCAATAAACAGTAAGTAATATTTCAGCAGACCTTTCTCCAAAATGAAGACGTATGGTAAATCTGCTAAAAGTGAAGCACAAACATATTTTAACCTCTACAGAAATCTTCTGCTTTTACCTTTACATCTTACTTAAATGTTTCATATCCTTAAACAATTTTAAATATCAGACAAGCTGAATAAAATGATTTTTTTTTCATAAACACAAAAACTAATTGGCAATTACCATAATCAAAGTTTTTCAAGTTGGCAGTTAGTAGCACTGTCAACTTGTAGCAAGTGTTCAAATCTTTATCTGGGGTCTTTCTGTGATGAGTTTGCATGTTTCCCAGGATCCTCAAAGAAGGACCCATAAGTCCCCGAAGGCATTATACGTTTCTCACCTGGACTGTGGGGAGGGAAGTCGGGCCTTTTCTACTTAGGCTGCCAGATTTGGCCAAAAACATTAGATGGATTACTTACTATTGATGTTTTAGGACAACTATGACTGCATAACTATGTGCCATATTTCTTAATAGAGTAATAGAAAATGGCCAGTGTTTCAGGGCCAAAATTAATTATCTTGTTTTTATTTCGACCGTTTAATAACAAACCTATCCTGTGTGGTATATCAAACCAGCAAAAGCAGAAAATGATGATTTAAAGGTTTCTCCTGTATGTACCTATTTTAGTGGACCTGAGCACTTCTTTGGACGGGATCTTCTTGCTCAGCTCAGTCAGGGCGTCCATCAAGTTCTCCTTGCTCTGATCTGGCAGTTCTAGCGTCGACTTGTAACGTAGGATGTCCTCAATTACAACTACTCTCTTGGAGAAATATTGTGAATGGCGTCTCATCAGTTTTAAATGTAGAAACGTATGTTGTTTTTATTCACACTATGCTTAATATCTCACCCGTAGAGACTCAATTGTCGCTTGTTTGTAAACTCTCTCGTCGCTCTTCGGTTGTTTGGGTGTTTCTCCCTTCGGAAGCCGAACGACAAACTTGTCCATCTTCAAATAAAAGTATATTTCTTCAGCTACAGCTTGTTAGCGTTAGCTGAAGTAAGCTAACCACTGCTAACGGATACAGTTTGCTAGATAAAAACTATATTCTCGTTAAATAATTTGCAATTACTATTAAAGAGAGATTTTATCAATTTGATCATGCCATTTGTCTGCACTCTCTAAAACTATGTTTACGTGTGGGAAAATAGTGTCAATGAAGTTGAAATACCGATGGAAGCCTGTTTGTAGCAGAAATTATGTTGCCTTCAGGTACTTCAGGAAAAAAATGTCTCTTGGTTAAAATAGTCATCTAGTATAAAATGGTAAAATGACTGTCAAGTAAAAATAACTAAAGAAAAAACATTTGTAGATGCACTGATACATACATATATATTGTTTCCTTTACCTCATGCAATATCCAGGTTGGTTTAAATGTTAAAAAAGATGCAACTTAAAAAATGGCATTAAGAAAAATTTAATTTTGAAAAAAATGTCAAATGTGTATGAGATAAAACGTAACATAAAATAAAATGCCATAAAGATCTCTAGTTATAAATTGCCGCTTTTAAACATATGAACATGTATTTAGGAGTCCTTAAACGCAACCTTTAAGCTAAATATCTCGCGAGATTTACAGTTCCGCTTAGGGTGGACGGGGAAGAGGAGTGGAGTTGTTTGTTTGGCTTTGCACAGGCAAAATGGGAACCTTTTCTGTCGTTGGTGGTATTTTGGGACTTAATGTCCTACTTGTTTGCACATTGGCGTCTTCTGACGTGTTTGACAGCGTTTTGGGAAGCACGGCGTCCTGTCACAAGTCCTGCGAAATGACATACAGTTTGCACACTTATCCACGGGTGAGTGCTTTTATCTTGCTTATGTCAGCTAGCTTTTGCTAACGTTATGCAATTTAGCTATAGAAGATCATTTAGGTTTATTTATTTAAGTGCAGTTATATTGTCTGATGCATTGTTGTGAATAATTCGTCGAAAAGTGCGTCATTTTTCGCAGAGTTATTCAACTGGTCCTTTTGGCTTGTTTTTGTTTTTTTCAGGAGGAGGAACTGTACGCCTGCCAGCGAGGCTGTCGTCTGTTCTCCATTTGTCATTTTGTCCGTGACAGCGACGATTTAAATCAGACCAGAACTGAATGTGAATCAAGTAAGTAACTGCAAACTTTCAACTTCCATCCACAGGGTTCAGGCCCGTCTAATGAAACTGGTCAGCACCAAGAGTATTGAAAGCTCCACCTGACACATATAAGTCACATCTGAGTAGTATTCTGGTGCACATAAGTTTAGAAAATGAATATGCAGCTGCTGCCATTGTGTAAATATAACTGACTGTACATACTCAGTACGCCCACCGCCTTTGTTTTCACGTTGAAAATACAGACTTTAATGTGTTTAATAGACCTGCATTAAGTGGTGCGTAAGTGTGAAGTGAAGCTAAAAGGATACATCGTTTTCATAAAACATAATAAAACACACTTTAAGAATTTCTATATAAAAATAAAAACTTCCACTTCACCATGATGTACTACTTGTGTGTGATCTCCCATTATATAAAATCTCCAATACATTGAAGTTTGTGGTTGTAATACAAAATATTGACACTTTTGGTGATTCACCATAGTGAATTCGAGAAGTGACTTCAAAATTCAAAAAAAAAAATTTGATCAGAAAAAGTTTATAGAGGTTTGACATAAAATATGAGCAGGCATCTTGCATAACAATTAAACATTAAAATCATTTGATTGTGTTGCATTCTTTTACACCTGTCTTGCTGTCTGTTACTCCAAACTCATGCAGCCTGTCGGGAAGCCTACACCCAGCCTGATGAGCAGTATGCGTGCAACATGGGCTGTCACAATCAGCTTCCATTTACTGAGCAACGTCAGGATCAGGTATACTGGTATTGAATCAATGCAGAATTTCTCTCAAGAAATAATGGCATGCTCAGTGTCTCTGTTGTTTTCTGAACAGTTGGAGGCCATGATGCCTAGGATTCATCTTCTTTATCCCCTGACTTTGGTCAGAGGATTTTGGGATGATGTTATTAGTCAAGCCCACAGCTTCATCACTTCCACCTGGACGTTCTACCTTCAAGCTGATGATGGAAAAGTTGTTATTTTCCAGGTATTGCTCTGATTAGTTCTAATAAACCTGACAGTGATGGGCCATTCTATACAACAGATTTCAAAAATCCAGTTATCTTCTGTGCTTCCCAGTCTGAACCACAGATTAGGATTTTCTCTCAAATTGAAGTGGACAAAGATTCAAAGGAGGAGCCTCAGAAAAGCTGTAAGCGCATCAAATTTTATTAATTTTATGCAATGGTCTTCAATTTAGAAAAAATGTAAGACATTGTGACATGTTGCTCAGCTCAGACACCATCCACATGAATGTCAAACATTTTGTGTCCAGTTTTGGATCTTGTTAAATGTTTGTTATCCTGACGCAGGCCTGGTACTGAAGCACAATTTCTACTTTTAACAGTTGAATTCAGGGCCACCCTGCGCTTAACATTTAGCATGCTTTTTCCATTACAACACCAGTTTTGTGATCATTTTTTCTTCCTTCTAAGAACACCAAACTCTTTCTAAAATTCAGCTGACACTATGGGTAGAATTACTGCTTTTTGCTATTTAAAGATTTATTTCCTTACTAAGAAAATCAACAAATGTTAAAAAAAAGGTTTCTAATACACAGTGATAAACTTATAGTCAACACTACAAAGTTTTTTTTTTCTATTTTGTATGTTTTCTACTTATTTCAAAATGTAGTACAAAAGGTTATTGCAAATTTTATTTCATATTTATCTCTGGAACCCGTAACGCTGATCCGCACCCAATCATGATGGTACCGCTTTATACAGCTGATGCAGCATTCTCAGGTTTTGGCTGTTGTTTCACATCTCAACCATCCCCATTTCATCAAATGGCTACATCTTGGATCAGATTCTTCTTATTAAACTTTTGATAAAAAATGACAATATTTAGCAAGCTAACACAGAGCGACTTAAAATCTGGTTCTCATGACCTTGACCTCAATTTTATGTAAAATATCCAGATTATTTTGAAACTTGAGAATCTGCCTGGAAAGCAACCATGATCTAGAAATGCAGCGAAGGAACTGTAAAGATGAAACATGAAGGTGCATTCCTTAATTTGTAATTGTCTTTTTATTATTATTATTAAAGTCCCCCGGCTGAGCAGTCCTATTTACAAAGAATACCATCGGACTTTAATCCAAGAAAGAGACAGAGAGCTGAGTGGTGAGCACAGCTATGACGACGGCTACAATCTTTTCAGCTGCCTGTCAAGGTTTGCACATTTCTGTTGCCTAAGCAACTTTAGTATCATCATCATCCGCATGCTGTGGAGCTACACAGACCAACTGTAATTTTCTCCACAGGAACCCCTGGCTGCCTGGGTGGATCCTAACAACTACTTTAATTCTGTCTGTGTTGGTCCTGATCTGGATTTGCTGTGCTACTGTGGCAACTGCTGTGGATCAATATGTACCTGCTGAGGTAAGCCTTAGGTTATTTTCTTTGTCGTGGTTTCTAGGTTATTTGTTTAACCTTGAAACCTGTTGCTTGTTGTGGCCATTTTCTTTTTAAAAGGTTCCAGAAACCTGAAGGTTTTCTGGAACATCAAACTGTTCACAAAAAAACTATCTTCTGGAATCATTTGAAGATGAACATGAAGTAAAACCTACAGTTTTCAAGAGCAGTTTAACGTTCAGATGTTACTGTAAATTATGGAGTATGGGCTTATTTTTACTACTTAAATGTTTTTGTGACACATTATTTAAAAGCATGCACAAGTTGCCTTGCAAATGTGTTTATACCCCTTAAAAGGTTAACATTTTGTCCTCTTAAAGTCAATTTGTCTGCATGACAAAATGTGAAATAGGTTTAATGAGTATGGATAAACGTCGAGATGTCTTTGTAAAACCTGCAGCTGTTCTGACAAGCTTAACATACAAACTGAATACATAAAGACTCTTGCTTTGTTTTCCTCTTCCTGTAGAAACTGAGCATCTATGGGGACCAGGACTACATCAAAGAGCAGAAACTGACTCCTTACCCAGCATCCTCTCTGATTATCATCACCTCCAAAGGGCTAGAGGAAGAGGCGGGGCCACTTCCTTCCAAGGTGAACCTGGGACAGTCCAACATCTAGAAAACAAGACTGCACTCTTAAAGGAAACTTTCCTATTGATCATTGGTATACTGTTGATTTTTTCTTCTTCTTTAATATCCAATTTAAGGCCGAAACTGGTTGTGGTCTCAGCAGAACTTTCAGATCATTTACTTATAACTGGTTTTTGTCCCTGCTTTATTTAAACCTGACATTTGGGTAATTAAACGTTTTTCTGTATATTGGAATAATTGTATAATGAGGGTAATATAGGAATAAAGTGTTTTAGGTTTTTTTTTTTCCTGCAAGTGTGTATTAGTTCTGTTTTATTGAATGTAATGAACTGACTTGAAGTGATGCGAGTTTCTACCCGAATCCACAATGCTAGGTAAAACTGATTGTATGGATACTGCCGACTCCCCCTTTAATGTTTGTATTGCTGCATCATCCTGATCCATTTTACATTAAAAGTCAGTGCTCCTACTAAAATGAAAAGGTACATGCATTTAAGTCTTTCCTGCTCTTCTGTTTGTTTCCTTGGTAATAAATACAAATAAAATATACAACTGTGAAATTGTTTAATTGGATTATATTTTGTTTAACCCTTCAGTAAATTAGGAAAGAGAAAACATGCCAATATCGACTTGACTCTGCAGCAGACAGTTAAAAGCAGAACTGGTGAATTGGTGGGGAATGTTTTAATTAGTATTTTACAAATTGGCCAAAAACATGGACTGAGTGTTCAGGAAATGTGTAAGATTACTGTGGGTAAAAAATTAATCCTCCAAAGGTTTTGATGTTATAATTGACAATGTCCATTGTCTGTATAGAAAATGTCAACAAGGAATTCTGTACGTATGAGTTTCGTCCCTGTGTGAGTTACACAAAACTTGCATATAACGTGATACACTCAGTTTTCTGATTATTAAAGTTCACTGTGTAGTCAGTTAAAAGCTGCAGAAAGAAAAGAAAAAAAAGGCACTCTGGCAAAATACAAAATTTTATTCATCTTAAAGAAGAAAAATAGCCAAAACACTTCCTTTGCTAAGTATACTTGAACTGCTAATAGTTTGTGTGAATGCAGCATGTTGACCGCTGCTCCCCTGTCTAATTATTACGGAATGCTGCCCGGATGAATTCCATTATTCAATAGCTGTTCAACAACTCTGTATCCTCTGCTGTGAGAACAAATGAGGATGAACGTTTTTTCTTAGTCGGAGGGCTTTGATGAGAACCGTCACACTTGCTTGACTCTTGCTTTGTCTTTGTAACATTACAGGTCATATTCCTAACTTGGAGACATTTTGTTGTGGATGGATCCATTTTCCCACATAGATGATCGTTTCCTGTTGGTTTGTAGAAGTGTAATTTCTCCATATTGGTCTGCTTGCCATTCTCACTGTCCAGTGGTGCTGCATTCAGTACCTCTCTGACAAACTTCTGTCTGCCAACTACAGGAAAAAAAAAACACCTCAGCACTTAATTTGTAAGTCGTTTTAACAAATTAAAATGAAAAATGTAACAGACGTACAGAAGCGAAGTGCTGAAGCCCTTGACTCTTCCATTTTCTTCGGTTTAGGCACCTGGCAGCCACTTGTTTCCCATTGATTTACAACCTGGAAAGAAGACAAATGTGGACAAATGATTCTGCTTATTGAAACAAATTATCTACACTCCTGGTATTGCTTAAAACTGGTTACCTGTTCTGCCCATCCTTCTGTTTTACACCCCGAGTGATCGAAGGCGTTCAGTGGTTTCTCCGAATGAATTAGCCCCAATAAGTTCCACACGGTTGTCTTCAAACCTGTGCCAAGCTCATATATAAATGATAAATTATTCCCAGGCCCAAAACAAAAAAATACCCAGATAAGTATAATACACCACAAATAGTGCCTGTTAAGCCAGATGTATTGTCTAAATTATCTACCCTAATCCCTGCTTTTGACATTTTCAGCTTCTTGATAATTGAAAAAGTTATATTTCAAGGAAGTACTTGAATTTATAGTAGCAGTAAAAGGTGCTTTAAGAAAAAATAGGTCAGTTGTCCAACTTAATTTGTAAAATAAATGTGAAACTAGGTATCCATTTCCTTGAGCTTTACAAGTACATTCTCCTTTGTGTTGGTCTGTCACGTAAAATCCAAATCAAATATGCTGTTTGTGGTCATAACACGACAGACTGTGGTATGAATCTTTCATAATACACTTATCTTACTTTCATGTTGGTCCCAGATGCATCAAGATTCGCCAACTTTGGGAGGCATGTAAGGTATCTCAAAGCCATCTCTGAGAGGGGATTGTCTGTATAAGAAAGAAAAAGAATATATAATATTATACAGTTTATTTTTGCAGTCGGTGCTGACCAGGCTCCATTGAAATTACAGACAGGAAACATCCAGGAGTTCCAGGGAGTCCAGTCCTTTCTGCATCACCCGGATAGGCGCGGTCAATCTTTGCAGGCCAACATCTGACAGATGGTTGCCACCAATAAACAGCTGACTCAGGCTGCTTTGGAAGACAGGATTCAGAGTTAATACCATCTTTTCTGCTTAGTGCATCCTAAACAGCCAAGCCTTACCTCGCCAGTGATGTGGAAGTGAGGTGACAGAACAGCTCATGATCATCTCCTAGTCTACAGCCAAACAAATCCAGAGACTTTAAACTATGAAATGCTTTTATCTCGGTGATCCGCTCATGCAGGAGTGGGAACCTGCAGAATAAGAAAAGCAGACATGAAGGGCAGCTATCTATGGCAAAAAGAGGCAGAGAGGCATGGAGGCCAGGAGATAACAATATACCCCAACCTGTTTCTAAGACAGAGTGAGCCCAGCACCAAATCTCCATAAGCGTCACTGAATAATTTCAAGGCTTTCTGAGAAATCTCTGGGTTTAAAAACACGCGGTTCTCTTCTGCTGCTGCAAAAAGCCTGTCGCCTATTTGCTCTGGGAAGCCAACCAAAGAGTCCACATGCTGGATGTTGTCAGCAACAAACAGCAGAGTGATGTCAAAGAGGGATTTCGTGGTGTATCTCAGACTTCCTTCCTCGTTGTAGGTGAAAATGAAATGCTCCTTTCTCAGCACAAACGGATTCGTCCTCCTGCAGGAGGATGATGATGATGGTGGTGGTTTTGGTTGTGCCAGAATAATGTCACTCACACGGCGAAGGCTGCCTCTTTCCCGAACATAAATGGTGCTGCTGTCCATCACAGACACGCAAAAACTTCTCTTAACTTAACAGCAGATTTGAATACAGACTATAAGTAGATCACAAATTCACCACAGTCATTAGCTTAGCTTAAACTATAAACAAAGAATCTCTTTTGTGCTCGAAGTATTCACAGCTACACCATGTCATCGTTCTCAGTTTTGTATGTTAGATTCCTCACGATCAGTATGCAGCTTTCACAGGCATGATCAGATCCCTTTGCTATCATAGAGCATAGACACATTAGAAGAGCAAACGCATAAGAGGCTTCTACGTCGCTTCGCCGCCATATTTGTATGGGGTTAATTCGTGTCAAAAATAAGTAGAAGTCATTTGTGTAGAGCTTGTCCATTTCGTTGCTGTGTCTTTGGTTGATGTCTATGGTCTTAGTGCTTTATGGATATGTCAGTGTTGCATGTAGATGTTGCATATGTAGGTGATGCATATGTTAGATGTTGCATTTGTCCATGTTGCATATGTGTTTGCTGCATATGTACATGTTGCATATTTTATGTCTCTAGCTGTGTGGTGGTTATTGCTCACTGCAGTAAGGCAGTGAACCCTTCACAGTTGTTTTTTGATGTAACTTCTGTGATTGGTCAATGTCATTGGTCTATGCTGTTAGTTCATGTCGTTGGTCAGTGTTGCTGTTACCTGTTCTCTTCGGCATTAAGCGTTACAAGGTAGAAATCTAAGCTTTTTAAAAACACTAATATTTAAAGACCAATATTTTTGTAATATCTAATAAACTCTTTGATCAGACATGACCTAATTCAACACTTATTAATGGCAAAGAGAACAGGCAACGGCAACACTGACCAAGGACAAGGACCAACGACATGAACTAACAGCATGGACCAAGGACATTGACCAATCACAGAAGTTAAAGACATTCAGACATAAATAAAAAAAAATTAAAAAATATCTGCAGAAGTGCATTGCTTTATGGAGATTAATTGACAAGATGACATGAGTAATAACCACCATGCACCTTGAGACATAATATATCTACATATGCTACAAATACATGTACAACAAAGACATATGTAATATCGACATATCCATAAATCACTAAGACTATAGACATCTACCAAATACATATAGCAACAACATAGACCAACAACATCTACACATATGACTTCTACTTATTTTTGACACAAATGGAACCCCATATTTATTGGCAGTTTACATTCTCAGTGTTTTACCGCCATCAACCGGCCTGTGGTGTAATTCGACAAATTTAACCCTTATAGCTTTCAAATGCCTTTACTTAAAAAAATAAGTAAATAAAAATAAATACGTTCTCTCATTTAACATTGTGCCTTGTAAATACTGTATAAGTTATTAATTAAACTTATACATTAATTCCATTAAAGTTTCTGTAACCAATGTACATCTATATTAGATGTACATTTTATACATTTAATAGATGTACATTGTATAGATTTATTCTGGAAATTAGTCTTCCAACAAATTTTGTATCGTTTTCCAAGCCTATTTGCCACCCACAATATGGCCGACTCTGTGACCTGCACTACAACGCACCAGCCATTTCTTTCAAACTTCACAGTAAGAGTCAACTAATAGCACACCTTCTATAGATCTGGATATATGGCAAAAACACACCTCAGTTTACATTACCCTTTTGTAATGAAATATTTTACAGTTATTATCATTTTTATTTTACCATGTCCGCTGAATACATAGCCAAATTCATGTATCTAAACTCTTATTTTGAAAATATCTCTCAACAGGAATGACTCATGTTTACCTCGTTGGCATATCCTGCTTCGGGTTTCCCTAGCTATTAACGATGACATAATTTTTACGAATTTTTTACACTGAATTTGGTAAGCATGGGCTTAAGAAAGTCGACACCTACATACTGTATTTCACAGTCACAATAGTGATAGGAGTTTTTTTTTTTAGGGGGGTGGGGGGGGTTATTGGTAAACGGAAGTTTACCAGTCGAAGTTGGTTCCTAAGTAAGCTAGCTTCCCAAGTTATTTTGTACCTATAGTTTTAAAAATGCTTTTAACCTGGAGTCAACAGATGTAAAACGTAAACAGCCGTTTTCTGTTTTTTTCATTCACAGCTTTTAGGATTAATTTGTTGCCTCGTTGCCACCCTGCCAGCAGATTCTCAACAAACATTTCTATTGAAAAGGGAATGGCGTCGAAAAATGATCCATTTCAATTTCAAGGTGAACGTTCTCCTGAACTCTGTCTTTTAAATAGATATAACACATTACTACGCAGGTGTTTACTTTTACATAGACTAGATAACTAAATTCATAATAATTTTTTGTCAAAATAAATAAAGATTTAAAGAGCTACCCACAATTTTTCATGACATTTTGTATGTCAGTGTGCATATTGATTTTCATGAATGAAGAGCTGCAAAATGTGCAAACTTTAGTAGGTACATACTTTCCTGAAAGAACAAACATGTTGATCTAGATGCTTAATATCTGTCCATTCTAACAGAATTTGATGAAGCCGGGAGTCTTCTGGAATCTAACAGAGATGCAATCACCATTAGCATTGAGGATGAGGATTTAAAATCCAAGAGGCAAAGAAGTGCTGTTGGTTTTGCTCAAGATGTTGATGATGAAGAACCACTCATCAATGAGGACAGAGAAGAGGTCAGACCATGACTCTCTTAATTGAAAGTTATTTTCTTCTTGAAATGTGTATAAATCAGATATTTAGATAATAACTCTCTTGTTTTTTTTTTGTTTGTTTTTTTTTAATTCAAGCTTTTGTCTGGGAAAAAGAAAAATGCTCCTTTCTGGACTTTTGAATACTACCAGAAATTCTTTGACATTGAAACCCATCATGTGAGTCATTTTGTTTTGTCCCTGTCTGAGTTTATATCATATTAATTGCTTCGGAGCAAATGTATCTCAAACCTGGTTGAAATCTGACATGTTTTTAACTCTTACTTTAGGTGAAGGAGAGGATCCTTGGCTCACTGGTGCCGTGGCCTGGAAAAAACTTCATTCAAGTTCACCTTCGTAAAAACCCAGATCTTTATGGTTAGTTCTGATTTAGTTTGCACAGTTGTTGTCACATATTATTTGTGGTGACAGGCTGTTTTATTTCCTTTTACTATTCATCGATGTAAATAATGATGCTCTAAATATAAATATGTTTGTGTTTGTAGGACCATTTTGGATTTGCACCACTCTTGTGTTTGCCATTGCTATCAGTGGAAACCTATCTACTTTCTTGCGATACTTTGGCAATTCAAACTATAAATATACAGCAGAGTTTGGAAAAGGTGAGTTCAGTTCGACTGATGCTAAACATGCTTGATAAATGTCCCGTTCACCTCTTGCACCGTATGTGTTTTCCAGTGAGCATAGCTGCCACAGCCATCTTCGGCTATGCATGGCTTGTGCCCCTTGGTCTCTGGGGTTTGCTGCTGTGGAGGAATAATAAAATCTTGAACCTGGTCTCATACTCGTTTATGGAGATTGTCTGTGTCTACGGATATTCACTGGCAGTTTACATTCCAGCTGTGGTAAGTCCTATAAATATGTTAATTATGCTACTGACATTGTTCTGCAACAAATTGAGCCTTGTAATACTTTAGTGAACCATATTATTTAAAAAAATGATTACTGTCTATATAATGTTTTGCAAAAGTTTTCTCAAGCTTCATCTCACATTTCAACAATAAACCTCAAGAGATTGAGGTGGCAAATTTACACAAAGTTTTAATAATAGTTCTTCTATTTTCAGCAACAGCTTCTTTCTTGGATTTTGATCTGTTTACTAGCTTGACCATTCTAACACATCAACATGCTCAAATCAATTGAATAGAGATAAACCTCCCTGATGGTTTGAAAAGGGCTTTTTTTCTAAATGTTTCTCAAATATAAGCCCAAATTACTGCTTGCTTTGAAGGGTTGTGGATGTTTTTGTAAGGCTCTATAGCTGCATATGTTTTAAACAGAATGCAGAAGGAATGAGAAGGTTAAGGGTGAATATTTAGAAGCTGCATTGTTAATAACAGACTTGTAGTCATTAGAAAATTAATACTTTTCATTGATGCCCTGACAGCTTTTGAGGAAATATATTTCTTTATATCATAACTCTGACAACGGTTGTTTCAATAACAGGTTCTGTGGATTCCACACGTTGAGTGGCTGAGGTGGCTCTCCATCGTGGTGGCGCTCTGCCTGTCCAGCTCAGTACTGGTGATGACGTTCTGGCCTGCACTCAGAGACGACCATCCCAAAGTCATCATAGCGACTGTACTAGGCATTGTGCTGCTGAACGGGCTGCTGGCTGTAGGCTGTAAGGTAATAATGCTGGCTTCTGATCCTGGATATGTGAGCAAACAAATATGATCTAAGGTTGTTATCTTGATCTGGCTCTCTGCCTTCACAGCATTTCTAATTTAGTTCATTCTTTATAAGCAGTCCATGTTGGTGTAGATAACAAGGATTGCATAAGTCTCAATTGTTCTCAATGATCTCAGCATAACCCATCTTTGACCCTGCTTGTTGTGTCAGTCACCTACAAAGCTGTGCCATATTTCCCAGCTCCGACTTGTGTGATTCTGGGAAATAAATGTACTTGGTAGTGTCAGGTTGTTCTTCTCTTGTCAATGGAAACTTTGACCATGCTTGCTAACTGCTGGGACAATGGGCTGTTTGATGACTTCTTAATGTGAATACTGTCAGGTCTGCAGCCATATCCAATGTCTTGTAACATCCATGTAATTGCTCTACAAAGTACAGGAACCCAATGTCTGAAGAGGTAATAAGATAATAGGTCTGTAAGACTCTTTTCTCTATTAGTTCATATTTTCCTTGCACCTAAATTATAGTCTCACATTTATTGTTGTGTTAACTAATGGATTCAGTTGATTTTCTTGACATCTTTTAGCATTCAGCTTTCGACAGATAATTGCAAAAGGTAGTTAGCCTGTCTAGTGAGAGATTTTCTCCTTTTTTCCGTGATGCATTTAAAACACCTTTGTTTGTATCACTTTATTCAGCGCTGTGTCTGACACAGGTGATCACATTATTCTAAAAGTGATGCCTGGTACTGTGCTAAAATGGTTCAGAACATATATGACAGACTTTGTCATATGTTAATTAAAAATCTAAAAGAACAAGAATCACATGTGAGGTTCCTCAAGACTTAATTTTCGGGTCACTTTTATTCTCTGTGCTACCAGGACTCAAGCTGAACAAGAATAGGCAACATTTAGGTTTTCTCTGAAAACTTTGGGTGTCTAGAAACTGTAGACTCATTTAAAGAAGGTTTGAAAACCTTATTGTTCAGTGCATATTTCCCATTGAAGAATACCTCATCAGTTTGTTTTTAACATTTCTTACTTTTTAGGTTTATATTATAATTTTGATATATTTTCTTCTTAAATTATGCTTTAATGTTTTTTTTTTAATTTCTTGATTTAATGTCTAATTGCTTCACACCTTTCCTTGGTTTTCACATACAGCTCTGTAAGTTATTTTGTGTATGATAAACTTGCCTTACCTTTGCCTACAGATGTACTTCTTCAGCGAACCAAAGCTCGGACCAGCACATGTCAGTACCTCTACAGCAAAGATTACCAATGGAACGTTGTCTTGAAGGACCTGCATTCATTGAGTGAAGGTAAACAACAGAGCTAAACAAGCTTATTTCTTAACTATGTTTACTTTAACATTGATGTCACAATTACTTTTTTGTTATCAACTGCAGGCCTATATTAATAGCACCTATTTTTTATTTGGGTAAAGGTTCAAGTGTCTCTTTTTGATCTACTTGAGTCAAAAACCAGTCCACAAACTTTTGTCTTCCCTAAAATGTGCATTATACTGTATTTTTAAATTACAGGTTCTCCAGTTGCATTATTAGAGAGACTCAAGTTCCTGCTTTGATGAAGTCATGGGTGGACTGGATTTCACCGGTACCTCAGCGCTTCCGGATTAAGGCCTTAAAAGCTGACTTGTAACTTCGGTGCAGGGTCATGACCTCTGAAAATGAAAACTGTTCTCCAGTATGTTACTTCTAAAGGGATGGCTTCTAAACTTACTTAAGTTAATTTGGGTGTAGTATTACACAGCACACACAATGTTATTGTGGTGGTGATGTTGTTTCCAGCTTTATAGCACTAATGTTAAAATGTAAAAGAAAAAAATGGTTGGTGATTTCAGGATCAGTGGTATTTCATTGATCTATTTTTTTTTAAAGTTTTATAGTTGTTTCATATATACCCTCTGAAGGTAAAGGTGTTGTATTTTCTTAATATTAAGTGCCTTTAACTATTGCCAAAGGCTGGCAAGATGTCATAGTAATGTTTGTAAATATTCTATAAATAATTTGTTGTCACGGAAAATTATAGTAAAATCTATTAAAATCCATGTTTATTTGTGTATTCAATGTTAATGTAGAGGCAAAAACTTTTATGATTTGAGAGTAGAAGGGATGATGGTGGCGACAGTGGTAGGAGTTTGCCCGGCAATCGGCAATCCCCACTTCACTTGCACCTTTTCACACTTCACCCACCTTGCCTTGTGGTGGTCAGAAGGGTCCGGTGGCACTGGTGCATGGCAGCCTCGCTATGAAAAAAGGTAGATATTTCCCAGCAATGTGTGTTTCTTTTTTAATAATAAGACACGAAGTGCAAGATTTGCTTGGTTTTTGCAGTTGGGAAAGAATGTTCTTGCAATATCACAGTGTGAATGGGTTTATTGTCCCATTGCATACAGGGCAATTCTGGAGGAAAACCTGACGGCGGTTATGTAAAACTTAAGAATTAAATCCACCTTCCAGTCAGGCAACAACAATAAACATACAGCCAGCGATACGATTAAAATGATTGAAGCATATTAATAATCTTGACTCATTCCAATGGCCGTATAGAAATTGTTGTTTGGATTCCCTGAACATTCAATTTGACAGATGTTGGACTGCCTGGCAATAGTGGTAGGAGTTTGAAATTCCTACCGGTTTGATCCCTGCTCCACTGCCTTTGTTATTATGTTCTTGGGCAAAAAACCTTCTTCTACCTTTTCTGTTGGTGGGGGTCAGAAGGGCCGATGCCACAATACACCAGCCTCACTTCTATCTGACTAGGGAGGCAGTGGCTACAATACAGTTGCTTACCATCATCAGTGTGTGAATGGGAATGACTAGATCTCATTTAAAGTGTCATGTAAGTCCAATGTCATTTCATTTTACCTTTCTACTTCAAAATATGCTCTACTTTGTATGGATACTTAAAATCTATTGAGGGTTATGTGACAAAATGTATAAAGGTTCACTGAAGAAGAACTGAAGAGTCTCATTGAAATGTCAACATTTGCAATTACTGAACTCTGCGATTTTGATGCACTTTAAGGATTCTAGACTTGAGAACCTTAAGTCACCCCAGCTGTCATCAGGTAGCAATGTGACCCTTCTAACAGTGTTAGAAGTTGCCTGTCCACTTCTACTGTTGGATATTTTAAATATTTAAAGATGAGATTGTAACCAATAGGTATAGATTCAACATTTACAAGAACGTGTCTGACTTTAAAAGCGAACGCAGGTCTTTAGTCGTCATCTAGCATCTGACTCATCCATCTTAGCTGTTGCATGGAGGCTAAACCGATAAAATCTACTGTGACAGTTTGAATGACCTGCGGTGGAAAATCTTGAGCCCTGCAATGGACCACATCTAGGCACACAGCATAGTTCTATTACAGGGAAGAGATTGTCATTAAGACTTTGCCCATTGTTTACACTGTTTAACAAGGGCCAACGTTTTTAGATTAATTAACAAAATAGGGAAAAAAAATTGGGTCACTTGACACGGTGTCAAAGGGATGGTGGCACCATAATTAATGGTCATTCTAGCCTCAGCTTTGAGTTACACTGGAGCCTACTTGTCTAACTGATAACCCTCTTAGACGAATGTCACCTACCTGAGTCGCAGACATGCTTGTGGATTCATTAACACCCTACTAAAGGACTCTGTTTATCCCTAAAGATATGCAGTAAAATTTTTTCCTCAGTTCTTGATTTGGAAACTTCTCCACAGGATGGCTTCTGCAAGTGGCAAAACTGAAAAAGCCTCAAAATTTGAGATGCTGAAACTTTTGGAGAACTGCCGGAAGGAAAGAGATGATGCTTTACAACGGGAAAGTGCTCTCAGGGAAAAACTCAGGCAGAATGAGACAAGGTTGCGTTCAACCGAGGGCCTGAAACAAAAACTGAAGATCTTGACTATGGACAACAAAGAACTTAGAAAGCAAGTGAAGGCTCTTCGAACTGAGATCGGACTGGAGAGAAGCCCCAACTTTGCAGGGAAGACCACCAAAGATATAGTCAATGATTTTGAAGAAAAGGAGCGTGAGTGCAACTCCTTAATAGACAAGACCGGGAAACTTAGAGTGACCATTGATGACTTGACGGCAGAGCTGTCCAATGTGACCACCTCCAAGATGCTCTTAGAGGACCAAGTGCAGTCATTACAGCAAAATCTCAAGGATATGACAAATAATCAGCGGCGTCTGCTGAAGCTGTGGGACGACAAGAAGACCCAGAGGGAGCAGCTCGCTCTTCCTGCAATTGTTCAGAAACCCTTCACCCACAAAGAAGTTCAAACTGACATGTCCATAAGCTCACAACAGAAGCTCCCACCCAATGCTTTTGAGACCAAGCAGATTAGACAAGATGGAGACAAGGACAATTTACCTTCCTTTGGTAATGGCTTTCATTATAGCAGAAAGAGTTCTGTGCACAATGAAACATAATGACTTCAGTTCTGGCAGTTCATGCAAGAATGGTGACAGTGACACTAAAGTGAATGAGTCAATGATTTTTTTTTCTGAATTGCTATGCTTGATACATATCTGTAACCAAGAGGCAAATCCTATAAACTCAAATATGACACGTCAGTTGAAACTGAGCTGGACTTGTTTTTGTTGTTGTTGTTGTTTTTTTTTTTATAAGTTGTTTCTGTGTTGTCTTTTCTTATGTTGACTTTTATGGTGTAAATAATAGAATATTTTTAGTACACTGTGCAATGAAATTCCATAATGGAATTTCATATCTATAATATTAACATATTATAGATATGATAATACCTGTTGAGAAGCCAGTGGACACACTGGGACAGTTTGTAGACAGAGGAGACCATCTGAATATGATATTCTATGTATAGATGACTTACACTATTATATAACTGTATGTCTATATATTACGTATATAGATATAGCACATAAAATAGAAAGCCAATTTATTAGACTGCAAGAATGTAACTTTATTAATTTTGAATATTGATGGCATTATAAACATTTATGATTTTGAACATATTCTAATTTAATACATGCATATTTCATTGACATAGAAAATAATCTAAAAGTGCATTTATTTCAGACCATTACATACAGACTGATATTTTTCAAGTGTTTATTTAACTGATGCCTGGGTGTGTCATTTTTACCTTGACTATGCAGGTAATAACATGACAGTGAAAAGCATGTCTATATCAAAATAATTTTGTTGGTCTTATTTTATATTCCAGGATATTTTTATGAGCTATAAACCGTGATCATAAAAATTACCATAAGTAAACAGTGTGTTGAATCTATATTAGAAATGAATTTCACTTTTTGAAAAGAATTACTAAAATAAATCTTTTCAATTAAATGTTATGTACTGTTGTACTTTATCAAGCTAGTCTTGCCGAAGCTTGAAGTTGCACCGAGGACGATTATGGGAACCAAAAGAGACATTTTTTGCGGATCTATCCAAACGATTCTGATCCCAGAAAGTTAGGAATTCCCATTGAGCCTTTATTTTCGTGTTGATTTGTCTTGATGCCTTGAGTTGAGTTTTATTAATTAATTTATTTATCCATGTTATTTTATTTTCTGTGGACTAAAACTAAAACCATTTCAACAATTATTTAAGTGTCTCATTACGTGTTCCCAACTCAGCACTACATTTATGTAGAAAAATATATTTGAAATAAAATATTTAACAGGCAGTAAAACGGGCAACTTTTAATCGGGGTCCTTCAGAGGCATCTTGAATGCATGTGGCGCGATGTAGAAGATGTGGATACCGGAGGCTAAAATAATTTGACAGCCCGAGAGCTGAAGACAACCTTATCGCAGAGTGGAGTAATTTTCAAACAAGCATCATGTTTCCTTCAGAAACAAGCTGCTGGTTTATCCACAAGGTGAGTTCTTTTTGATAACAGTTCACTTATAGAGCTACAAAACTGGATCTCTTAGCTAAGAGGCTAACCTCTACCCCATTTGTTTATGCTAGCTTCTTCGAGTTCATTTTTATGACTTACTGTTTTTAACTTAATTTTGAGTTAACTTAATTTATGTGAATCTAATAAATAAATAAAAAAGCAGGATAAATACTTTATGAATTATTTTAATGAAATGCAAAAGTTGGGAGATAAAAAGTTTGTGAATGTAATGTTAGCATTGTCATATTGTACGAATATTTCCATTTGTACTAGCGGACATTGGCAAAGACTTATTATATATTTACTAGTGACTTTCTCGGTTTGGCAAATATAAGATATATATTTTTTAAAAAGTCAGCCACAAAATAAAACAGTCTAATTTCGCGAATTGGAGCTTTTCCAGATAGATTTCAGAAGGTGCTATGTAGGTTGTAAGTTTTTGATGATGCTTATCTGTACAACACACAATCAGCAGGGCTCCTCTAACTGTAGACTTTAAACAGCACCTTTATAGCAAGCAGAGCATTTGAAAACTAATTGAGAAGTTGGGTAAATTTGTCATAAAATGATTTTCCCATTCAGTAATGGGTGGTAGGTTGATTTATAATAGAGAACCTTCATTGTTCAGTGTGGAAATTCAGGTTGAGCAGCAGCAAAGTGGCAAGTCAAAGCATTCAGATTTACACAAAAATAAAAAAATATTAGAAACAGAACTGATAATAACATAATATAAAGTGAGAGTAAATTTACAGCATAAGAAAGAAACTGTGGAGTTATTGAAAATGGCATAAAAATAGACAAAAATGTATATGCATCTTTGTACATAAAAAACAGAATATTTACAAGAAGTGGAAGAAACCTAACAGCAGGGATGCTAATTAGAGAATAAATATGGCAAGCTAATATTTATTTTGCTTATAAATGCTTGAGGAAATTATCAGCTAAGTTTTGTAGCATAAATGTTTTCATTTTGTTGGTGTATTACTACTTGCCTTTTCTGTTCAGGTTATTTGGTGGAGAGCTGCTGCCAGCATTGCCTGGTCTGTCCTGTTGTTGCCGCCCACCACGGCAGTTTTTGTGTTTCTCAGCAAGTTCAGTTTTCTTCACCCCATTCAGACTATTTCAGGTCAGTCGCCATGCTGGTTGTGCCCTTTGACCTGTTTATCTGACCCAGTTGAAAGTGTGCTTTAAACAACAACAACAAAAACTTTTCCTTTGATACCAGAATGCCTGTCTCTGCTGATGAGTTCCTGTTTGATTTTCTCCTTCATCCTGCTTGGTGGAGTGGTCATCATGGTTGGATTCTTGAATTTAGAGTACTATACAGGTGAGTGACAGAGAGCAATAATATTGTTTTTGTTTTTGTTTTTTTTTTTTTTTTGGTAATTGGGACTTAGGTTTTTTGAGGCTTGGTTTTAAGAGAACATAAAAAACTTCTTTGCATTTTAAATGCCATTTTTATGTTTGGATATTGCCTGTTTTGACTGAAAATACACTGTAAAAACATGTTTTTTTTTTGTTTTTTTTTGCAATTTCTGTCATTTTTTCCATTACTGGATCATTTAAGTGCAATTAAAGAACTATGTTAAAATAATTATCACTTCATTATTTTCAGTTTTTTGCCAGCGGATTCTGTCCAATTGTTGACATATCTTGTATTTCTCTGTATCTTTAGTTATCCCGACTATTGCCTGCTCTAAAATTGCATTGCTGGGCCAGCTGCTTCACCCTCGCCAGTTTATCAACTCCCTTGCCCACTGCCTGATGGGAGTGATTGTCGGTTGGTGTTGTGCAGTCACTGTTGGTAACAGATATGAGACACTCGGGTGCCCGTGTAAAAGTAGCGATGGGTAAGTCGATGCCAGGCCAAATTCAGTTTTAGTTTTCAGTACTTTTCTCTAATTTTAATTGTTTTGGTGTCTTTTCATCCTCGGCAGTGTTCCTCAGATGGGGCTCAATGAGTACCACCTCGTCTTTCTGCTGGCTGGAGCATTTGTTGGTTTCTCTCACAGCCTCCTGGGAGTCATCCATAACATAAATTATGTCTCCTTTCATCCCGTTCAGGTCAGGGACACGAGTGCCGCTTAACTATGCTGTTCAGTTTTCATACACAAATCATTAACGTGAATCTGATCTTATTTATTGCCTTTAATAGTTCATTTGAAGCTTTTTGCTTAAAGCAAATAATGATGGCGTAATAAACAACTGAATTATTTTTTTCTTTTTTCTTTTGTGAATTGTTCCCAACAGGTTACTGGAGTTGAAGATATTTTCTTCTTGGCACAAGAGGCAGAACTCTTTTTAGCAAAAGAAAAGCTCTATATTTAATTTAGATTTATGCCCAAAGTTCTTGTTTACAAAACTTGTTTAACTTGTTTGTATATGAAGAAAATACGAAAGATTTAAAATTATGAGTGTAGACCTCTTACCTGATTTATAGCCTTAACTCAAATAGCCAATAATAATCCCAAGCTAAACTGGTTCCTACTTCGATACTAACAGTCCACCTGTTACTTTTTCCTCAGCAATACAAATATCTCCACTTCAAAGGGTCCCTGCCCTTAGTGCTGAAGTGCAGCGCCGTTCAAGCATTTTACTCTATCAGGAACTTCACTGTTGCTTATTTCTTTCTGGGTGAGTCACTTGTTTCTTAAAGAATTTTTAAAAAGTCATCTTAACCATATAGTTTAGTTTTTTACTGTTATTCATTGCACATGATCACAATTGTTAACAGTTTTTTTATTTTTTTGTTTTGCATATTTTGATGTAAAATGTTTTTTTCAGGTTATATACCAAAAACATGGATCTGCAAAACTCTGAATCTTCATTTGGACAGGTATATGTTTCATACATACGTTCCATAAATGTTTTGAGCCTTCAGAGCATTGTGCGGAGTTTAATTAGCATTGTTCTGTTTGAATCTCCCTTTTCTCCTCCAGCTCTGTCCATCGTCTGGACAGCATAACTGGATTTGTGGACCTGTCCCTCCTCTACCACCTGTGGATCAGCGCCACCTTCCTCCTCTTCACCTGGTACATCACATTGCTGCTTTTTAGGATCTTTGTCACAGAGGTATGTGAATGAAATACTTTTTTCCAAGTCAAACCAAGTAGAACTGACTTTATATTTGTTTGCAATGTTTTGTTCTGACTATTACATGGCACTATGTGATATAATAGACTTGGCTTTGACCCAGTTGTCTTGGCTCGCTCCCTCCGTGTAAAATACAAATGCATGCCATACATTTCAGTTATTAATAAATAATTCAATAATTACTAAATAAATAAATCTCAGTAAATCAGAGAAAAGTTTGTGCTTGTGAAGTGTCAATGTTGAAAAATTCAAGTGGTATCAATATTTTGCAAGACATGTGAAAACTTTGTGGATATATTTGTATATTTTTTGCAGGTGTACAGTTTTCCCGTGCAACCAACTTTTACTGAAGGTTCCCACCAGTGTCTTCCCAGAGTTCTCACTGACCAACAACCAATGATCTTGAAGGTATAAAAATCAGCTTGCAGGTTGTTGCACAGTCATATTTTTTATTGTCTGTTTTCTGACTCTAGTCTTCTTGTTAGTTCCTAGCCCTGCAGGACTTGGCTCTGCTGTCCAAACATTCTCCATCCAGACGCGGTGAAGTCTTCAGTCTCAGCCAACCAGGTCTGTCATGTTTTCCACATGCAGAATAATTCCTTATGATATTTGGTTCTTTTATTTAAGTGCATATCGATATCCAGTTTGGCTTTCAGCAGTATTTTTTTCTGCCTTTTCCAGGTGGACATCCTCATAACTGGAACGCAGTCAGTAGAGAGTGTCTGGCTCTGCTGGCTGATCTGACGCAGAGACTTGTGGCTTATCATGAAACTGTAGCAACCAATGGGAGGGCCAAATCTCTGTCCAGTGGCAGTGAAAGGAAGACTTCATCTGACACATCATGTAAGTTGCTCACAAGCGTTTGATAAAGGTGAAGCCTTTCAGATCACTAAATTTAATATTTTTTCTTTACCTTATAGTTACCTCTGGTACAGAAGACCTGGTTA